CGTGACATTTCCCGACCAGGCGCCGAGTGGTGCCAATCACAACACACACTGTCCCAGCTAACCAATCACAGCACATTTTGTATTTCAGAAGGCGAGCCTTCATTTGATACAGGAACTATTCGAGCCTTTCATGCCAGACTGGGGAGAGAGGTGTTGTAATAATGTAAAATATGTGAAAAATAATGTGCTTTTCGAACAACCTAGTATGAGAGCCTGTTCTAGTACACCCCCAAATCAAGACTGTGTAAAAGAGCATAATAGGACCCCTTTAAATCATATTGGAGAACAGTTTTTCAGGTTTGGTTGCTGTAGACATTCTCATTCATCTTATCACTTTAATTATGCAGATAAAATAGTATGCAATAAAACAATTTATATTAAATGAGAAAATGCAAAACTGACGCATCTTCCTGCGTGTATGCAGACCCACTGAAGATATACTATACTTGCACATTCACACACACGGCCCACACGTAAGTCAGATGCTCAGTCACACATCACAGCCTCCTCACACATTCACACTCTCGTCTGCCTCTATCCCACTAAACCAGATCAGATGGTTAACCTGCCGTCCAGGTGCTCGCCGTGGATTAGCCTGGCTTCAAAAATTAAACGTTTTAAACTGGGTTATTTGGTCTGAATGCATTGTCTGTGGATGATAGTTAAGTGTGTTATTTGCTCAGTTCGATTCTTTCTTCCTAAAACCGTACTAAGATAGCAGTGATGCTCTTTCCCAGGAGGGCGTGTGTGTTTTGGTGTAGTGCACTCATTTGTCTTCTGTGTTTGTGTAGCTCAGGATGGAGTGGCAGCCGGATGAACAGGGTTTACAGCAGGTGCTGCAGCTGTTGAAGGACTCTCAGTCTCCGGATACGGCCACACAGAGAGCCGTTCAAGAGGTGTGTGCACATCCCTTACATCATTACACTAGCATTATGGTCAGTTATATGCCTTTAAAGCTTATTTATCCACGTTATCGCCAAATATAATGTGAATTTTAGCTGTCTGTGTGGTCAGTTTTTATTTGGTGTACAGTGCAAATAAATCTCAATCTTTTCATCTTTTTGGCACAATACGTTGACTTAATAGTATATACTGCTGTTTTTAAATTCGGGTTCAGTATTAAATTTTTTTTTTTTTTAAGTGTGAATTTAAACCTTTTATTTGGCAAGGACACATTCAGTTGATCAAAAGTGACAGTAAAGACATTTTTCATGTTCATCAAAGAATCCTGAAAAAAAAACGATCACGGTTTCCACAAAAATATGAACTAGCACAACTGTTTTCAACATTGATAATAATCAGAAATGTTTCTTGAGCAGCAGGTCATTATATTAAAATGATTTCTGAAGATCATGTGACTGAAGAATTCAGCTTTCCATCACCGGAATAAATTACATTTTGCAATATTTTCAAATAGAAAACCGTTGTTTTAAATTGTAATAATATTTCACAATATTACAGTTTTTTTTAAACTGTATTTTTGATTAAATAAGTACAGCCTTGTTGAATAAAAGACTCATTTCAAAAACATTAAAAAATCTTACTGACCCCAAACATTTGATCGGTAGTGTGTAGATGCTCTAAAAATTCAAGCACCGTTTTAACCAAACACCCATTGTTGCCATGCAAATTCAAAATATATAAAATAATATTTAATCATTTCTTTTATATGCACCAATATAACGATTTATATTAATAAACTGCAGTGTTTATCTTCATATTTGTTCCTAAAACTTTAAAACATAAATGATGATGATCCAGATGATTTATTGAATCAGGGTCTTGTAAGTGATTTATTGATTAAATCATTCAGTAAATAATATTGAACTTCTCCACTCTAATACCATTTTTGCTTTCAAGGTTTAAATCAGAAAAACTACTCGGCCTACTTGTGTAGTTTTAATAGTCTGTTAAAAAAAAAAGTATTACTTTTTGTCACCATATTCATGATGAATGTTTATTAATCAATGGCTGCAAAATCAGTGCAAATATTGATTTAGGTATATCTTCCTATTCTAGTGGTAAAGGATTTTTTTGTTTACATCTTAATAAACGTCACTGGACTGAGATCAGACCTCTTCTTTCTGTGCTGTCTGTTTAATTTATCCTTTGTTTTCATGACTCTCTCATTAGAAACTGGAGCAGCTGAATCAGTTTCCCGACTTCAACAACTATCTCATCTTCGTCCTCACCAGCCTCAAATCTGAAGGTCTGTAATATCCCATCATGCATCATCTGCCTCAGTGTCACACACGCTCTCCTGTCACATATCTACAAGCACACCTCTGTGTCTCTGCAGACGAGCCCACCCGTTCTCTGAGCGGTCTGATTCTCAAGAACAACGTGAAGGCTCACTACCAGAACTTCCCTCCGGCCGTGGCCGACTTCATCAAGCGAGAGTGTCTCAACAACATCGGAGACCCGTCCCCGCTCATCCGCGCCACCATCGGTCAGTCTGAACCCGGGTTTGAGAGGGTTAGATTATAATAGATTAAAAAAAAAAAAAACTCAGATTTCAATGTTTTCAGCTGAGCAGTGTTAATTTCGTTGACGAATAATTTTTGTCGTCAACATTTTTTTCACCGACGACAGAACTAAAACTCTTTTTTGAATGGCAAAAACTATGACGAAAATCTATTGACATTTTCGTCAACTAATAAAAACGAGACGAAAATGTTAGGGAGGGACGAATGGGAAAAGAGATTCATTCAGAACGACTCTGCTGCATGGTTCGGAGGTTAGATGCGTACATATGAACCGTAGGGGTGTGCGATATATATCGTCTGCGATTAATATCGTAATGGTTGTTTTAACGATGTGCGATTTGACATTATCAAGTATTTTGCAAAAACCATTCAAAACATCCCTACAGAGCGCACGCATACATTACGTGAAGTCTAGACTAGTGCGTGTGCGCATTTAGTGTGTTTTCTTTCACTGCATGATTCAGTCTATTAAAATGCATTTAGAATGATCACAAATTCAAGACATGATGGCAGAAAATTTATATATTTATACCACTTCATATAGTTATTCAATTTCACACGAAGAGTGCCGTTTTTCTCCAAAAATTACCATGATTACAAATGTGACATTGAATTCAATAAACAATAAGTTAATTAAGAGACTTACATACGTTTAGACGCCATATTGCTTGTTTTTGCTCTATTTCGCCAACAAAAATCATTCCGAATACAGCCACAGCGCTGTTTTGTGTCTCTGAGCAACATGACAGTGTTTCGTTCTTTGGCCCGCTGTACACGAGACTCTTGCAGTGGTGGCTCAGGACCAGGGGGTTTTCCCCAAGGGGCAACCCATTTTGCATGATCAAGGTCACACGACATTGCTTTCGTGCCTTAGTCATGTGGAAGAACACTTAGTTCCTGTTCCTGTGTATTGTCCGAGTCATTGATGTTAATCAAGCAACAACAGAAAGACAGAAAATCACGCACTGCTCTTGACTTGAAAATTTTAGTAGCCCTAAAGATTAATCTAAATTTATTTATTTAGAAATAAATGTCTGCTTGAAAGAATGAAGAATATGGTAAACAAGTTGCTATAAAGAATGCATAATTAGCCTATATAACCATTGGTATTTCATTAATAAGAAGACCATGTTCTTGTTTTATTAAATTTTAACAAAGGCATGTTGTTTGTCACCGCAGTTAAATCGGTATCTGTCATGATATAACCTTAATATCAAAGCTCTATAATGAGTCTGGAAATTTTAGAGGAATTTTTTATAAATGCATTACTCTAAATAAACCCATTAGAATTTAGCCGACTAAATTTACTGTAGATTTAGTCGACTAAAATCTTACGATATTTAGTCGACTAAAACGAGACTAAAACTAAAAACAATTCAGATGACTAAAATATGACTAAAACTAAATGGCATTTTAGTCAAAAGACTAGGACCAAAACTAAATCAAAATGTGCTGTCAAAATTAACACTGCAGCGGAGTTAAGTTGTTTTTATTTGATTAGTTGTAATTGGTGTTTTTTCCCTTTTTGAGAGGTATTCATTGTCTTCAAGTGACACAAACAGCTTATTCAGCTTTGCGTTCTAGTTGAATTTGGGTCCATGTGTGTCCACAGGTATTCTCATCACTACTATCGCCTCTAAAGGGGAGCTGCAGACATGGCCTGAGCTGCTGCCTCAACTCTGCAACCTCCTCAACTCGGAGGATTACAACACCTGCGAGGTAAAACACACACAACTTTGAGTAAGTTTGGAGTGGAATAACATCATAAGACTTTAACTAGGAATGCAATATGTTTACTGTTTTTTACAGTGTTTTCCCAAAATGTGCAATATTTATCCCACAATGCAGTGCACTTGACATGACCTTCTGTTTGAGCAAAACAGTTGCACAAGAATGTGATTTGATTGGCTTGCCAGACTGCATTTTTACACACAATTAAGTTATGTGTTTTCAAGACTATAACAATAATGTAGTAAGTAGATATCAGTTGATATCATACAGGTGTGCCATAACAGATTTGAAGATTAATTTATAATTAGACTACAACATTAAAAAGTAATATGAAATGTTTACTAAATAATAATGGCAGTACTTTGACAGAATTTCATACTCTGTTGTTATGTTGTTTGATTTTGGTGTTTGTGCATACTATGTTTAAAAAAAAGTACACAGTAAATATTTGAGATTATGTAAACTACTTTTTCAAACTAGTCCTAGGTTTTTTGATCAACCTCACTAAAGCTAGTGAAGTAGAAGTCTTCGGACTACCTAGATCAATAATTATCCAAACAAAGTTGAACTTTAGTGTTTAGATGGCTATAAAATGGTCATTTGAATTATGGGCATGACCAGATATACTCACAATTCCTAAACCAAACTTCATGAAATTATGAATTTAGCACATGTGACATATGATACTAAAGAAGCATGTAAACTTTAATGAAGATTAGTTGATAAGTGCCACTATAACAGTTGTACAAATATTCCTCATTTATCAATATACCCATAATGCAGTGGGATTTCTAAGAGAAGTTAGTTATTTTTGCTGATTTGTGTGTGTACAGGGGTCTTTTGGTGCACTGCAGAAGATCTGTGAGGACTCGTCTGAACTGCTGGACAGTGACGCTCTGAATCGACCCCTCAACATCATGATCCCCAAATTCCTGCAGTTCTTCAAACACTGCAGCCCCAAGATCAGGTGAAGAAGCACACATATCTCTCACTGAATGCTGTCTGTGTTTGATAACGAGTAACATCGTATTGATTCACTCTCTCTGTACAGGTCTCATGCCATAGCGTGTGTGAATCAGTTCATTATTGGCAGGGCTCAGGCTCTCATGGACAACATCGACACATTCATAGAGGTGAGTTGACCTCCAGCATGTAGTGGTTTCCAATCCACCAAAAAGTGATTCGAAAAGTTATTTCATGCAGTTATTGTAGTTTTATATTTGCAACTGATAGGATGCATCTTTAACGACTTATTTAAGTCTTACTGACCCTACAAATTAGCATTTTTGCTATTGCTTTAATAAATACACAACATAGTGAGAGTTGTATATATAACATCAATTTAGTATTTTACATTTTTTTTAAATTGCACATAATGTTGCACTGTTTTTTGTTTTTATATGTAATTCAATATTTATATATACATATACACGCACACATGCACATTTAATGATATGCATTAGATGCAGATTTTATGTACTTCATTGTGTTTGATGTAGACTCAGCAGTAAGTGTTTTATAGCTTCCTCAACTTCTGAATATCGAACAAAGAATAACACTTCTAAAGTTTGTCAAATCAAGATCGTAGTTCATCCTAGAAAACACGCTTTTTTAGCAGCCTAGCACATCGTAAACACTACAATCCAGCTCATGGTGACCCATGAATTTGTAGTTATTTCAGTGCTTGTTTCAGTTCATCTGTACTGTGTGCTTTGCTTTCAGTCTCTCTTTGCGTTGGCGGGTGATGAAGACTGCGAGGTGAGGAAGAACGTGTGCAGAGCTCTGGTCATGCTGTTGGAGGTCCGAATCGACCGCCTGATTCCGCACATGCACAGCATCATACAGGTGATACAAACATCTGATGTTTTTCTGTCACTTAAAGGTATTGTAGGAGTTTTAAATCTGGTCTCTCTGCAGTACATGCTGCAGCGCACGCAGGACGCGGATGAGAATGTGGCGCTGGAGGCCTGTGAATTCTGGCTGACTCTGGCCGAGCAGCCCATCTGTAAAGAGGCTCTGTCAGGACACCTGGTCCAGTGAGTACTGCAGGCCATCATCATCATCACACACACATCTGAGCATAAACTGAACACACACAAATGAAGCCTCTGTTTAGTTCTGTCTGAGAGATCTGATCTGAAGAAACGTTTTGCGTGAGCCGTGGGGTGATCTAATGTTAATGCGTTTCTCCACAGACTCATCCCCATCCTGGTGAACGGAATGAAGTATTCTGAGATTGACATCATTTTACTGAAGGTGAGTCACCATAAATGTGAGCCTGGAGCGCAAAACCAGTCTTAAGTCGCTGGGGTATATTTTTAGCAATAGCCAAAAAACATTGAATGGGTCAAAATTATAGATTTTTCTTTTATGCCAAAAATCATTAGGATATTAAGTAAAGATCATGATCCATGAAGATATTTTGTAAATTTCCTACCATAAATATATCAAAGCTTAATTTTTGATTAGTAATATGCATTGCTAAGAACTTCATTTGGACAACTTTAAAGGGTTAGTTCACCCAAAAATGAAAATTAGCTTGTGTTTTACTTACCCTCGAAGCATCCTAGGTGTATATGACTCTCTTCTTTCAGACGAATCCAGTCGGAGTTATATTAAAAATTGTCTTTGATCTTTCAAGCTGTTTAATGGCACTCAGCGGGTGTTGCAGTTGAATAGTCCACAAGTCGTCAAATAAAGCTCGCGCATTCATAATAAAACGTGCCGCAGACGGCTCCGGTGGATGAATAAAGGCCCCTTGTAGTGAATCCATGTGTTTTTGTAAGAAAAATATCCATATTTCAAACGTAATAAACACTTTTCTCTCACTTCCGCTGACTGTCTATTATTTAATTTGAGTAATTTTGTTATGTGCTTTTTTATTTCAGTTATACTAATTTTAGTGCTTCAACTTATATTCAACTAATTTCAGTTAGTTCCCAAGGCAATAATAATTTTGTGCATTTCTCATTTTTATGTAGCTTTATTACAGTTTTAAATTTACTAATTTTAGTGCTTAAAGTTATTTCAGTATGCCAAGGCAATATTTATCTTTTTTTAATTAATTAAAAAAAAATATATATTTAAATATTTGTATTTTAATAGCTTTAGTTTTAATTGACGCACTGATTCGGATTCTTGCATATAGAAAATAGAAAGATTCTCTCTTCTAATGCTGTAAATTATACAGGGAAGTGTTTTGAAGTGATTCAAATCAGCAACTCATCATTTCTAACTATTCATTCAGAGAACCAGCAAATTTTCAGGATTTGGGCTACATTGGTTGCGCTGTGTGCTTTTGATTCACTAGAACCGTTCATGTGAGTCAAAAGAGTCATTTGTTTGTGAATCAGACTACACTGGTTGTGTTGTTTGTTTTTGCATGCCACCAAAGAAGACAAATTCAATAGAAAGACGTTTCTAGATCTACAAAATTGGGATTTTAGGAACTGATTTCTGAGAAATTTCAGAAAATTAATCGTCACCCAGCCCTACTGATTTATCAGCAGCGAGCGCTGTGTAGGGACCGTGTGAATGTGAATGCAGCTGCAGTCTTTCTCTCTGTGTGTCTCAGGGTGACGTGGAGGAGGACGACACCGTTCCTGACAGCGAGCAGGACATCAAGCCTCGCTTCCACAAGTCACGTACCGTCACGCTGCAGCACGAGGGAGGAGAGGGGGAGGAAGGAGAGGACATCGACGAAGATGAGGATGATGACGACGACACACTGTCTGACTGGAACCTACGTGAGTAAACAGACCAATCAGAGCATGCTTGCTGTAAATGTGTATATAATAGATGTGTATATTTTTGTGTGTTTATAGGGAAGTGCTCTGCGGCGGCGCTGGACGTGTTGGCTAACGTCTTTCGGGACGACCTGTTGCCGCACCTGCTGCCGCTGCTGAAGGGTTTGCTGTTCCACCCAGACTGGGTCATCAAAGAGTCTGGGATACTGGTGCTGGGAGCCATCGCTGAAGGTGTGTGTCTCACACACAGAATTAATTCACTAATTACTGGGTGTTTACCCATCCTGTCTCTTTCTGTCAGGCTGCATGCAGGGTATGGTACAGTACCTGCCCGAGCTCATCCCACACCTGATCCAGTGTCTGTGTGATAAGAAGGCTCTGGTTCGCTCCATCGCCTGCTGGACGCTCAGCCGCTACGCACACTGGGTGGTAAGCCAGCCACCGGACGCCCATCTCAAACCGCTTATGACAGAACTGCTCAAACGCATCCTGGACGGCAACAAGAGAGTGCAGGAGGCCGCCTGCAGGTGTGTGTGTGTATGAAATTCATGCCTTAAATATTTGTGATCCTGGAGCACAAAAGCAGTCTTAAGTCGCTGGGGTATATTTGTAGCGATAGCCAAAAATACATTGTATGGGTCAAAATTATAGATTTTTCTTTTATGCCAAAAATCATTAGGATATTAAGTAAAGATCATGTTCCATGAAGATATTTTGTAAATTTCCTACTGTAAATATATCAAAACTTAATTTTTGATAGTAATATGCATTGCTAAGAACTTCATTTGGACAACTTTAAAGGTGATTTTCTCAATATTTAGATTTTTTTGCACCCTCAGATTCCAGATTTTCAAATAGTTGTATCTCAGCCAAATATTGTCCTATCCTAACAAACCATACATCAATGGAAAACTTATTTATTCAGCTTTCAGATGATGTATAGATCTCAATTTAAAAAAATTGACCCTTATGACTGGTTTTGTGGTCCATTTATTCATGAAGTATGTTAAGTAACTCTGTAATGTTGTCAGTGCGTTTGCGACTCTGGAGGAGGAGGCGTGTACGGAGCTGGTTCCGTACCTCAGTTTCATTTTGGACACTCTGGTGTTTGCGTTCGGGAAATATCAACACAAGAACCTGCTCATCCTCTACGACGCCATCGGCACCCTGGCAGACTCCGTCGGACATCATCTGAACCAACCGGTAATTAGAGTTTCTGCCGCTCAGTGAAGCTATTTATTTATTTACTAAAATGTGCCTTTTTAAAAAGAAACAAAACGTTTTTGAAGATGTCTGGAGACCTTTTACTAATTTCTTAAGGCACAATGTTAATGTTGGTAGCCTGATACAACAAGCTCTGAGGGAGTAAGGTAATATCGTGATCTTCTTTACAGACTTGGGAAACACTCTTTTCTTGATTTAGGTATCTTTAAATTTTTATTTTATTTATTTATTTATTATTATTATTATATATTTTTTCCCTTCTTTTGTTTTGGGATGGGGTGATGGGAGGGAGAATTTGGTGTAAAATGTTTGCTTTGTTTACATGATTGTTGCTTACTGTGTAATCTGCTGTAATATGCAAACTGAAAAAAGTAATAAATATATTGTTAAAAAAAAAAGTGCCTTTTTGCAAACTGTCACTTGAAACCAATTTTCAGTTTTCATACACTACCGAGATTTTTTTTTTAATGCTTTTTGGGAGAAGCCTCTTATGCTCATGAAAACTGAATTTATTTGATGAAAAACACCTTAAGAAAACAGTCATGTTGTGAAATGTTACACTTAAAAATGACTGTTTTCTATGCCAGTATATTTTAAAGAGTAATTTATTCCTGTGCTCAAAGCTGAATTTTCAGCATCATTACTCCAGTCTTCAGTGTCACATGATCTTCAGAAATCAGTCTAATATGCTGCTTTGTTGCTCAAGACACATTTCTGATTATTATCAATGTTGAAAACAGTAGTGCTGCTTCATATTACTGTGGAAACCTTGATACAATTTATTTATTTAATTTTTTTAATTTTTTGATGTATAGAAAGTTCAAAAGGGCGGCATTCATTTGAAATCGAAACCTTTACAGTCAGTTTTAGTCAACTTTTGAATGCTAGTTTGTTGTTTTAATTTTTCTAAATAAAACTTGTAGATGCAAGTAGGGCAACTCAAAAGATCAGATGCCATATTTTTTTTGTACAAATAGATGCCAAAATGATGAAAATCATCTTCAATTATCTGTCTTTTTTTTAAAGACAATAAATAACACAAATGTTTTTGGTTCGATCCGCCTCTGCTCACCCCTGCCCTTGTCAGCTTGTTTTAAAAAGCTAAATATTATTAGTACGTGTTTGTGGGCGTAGAGATCAGTGGTCTGATCTTGTGTTGTGTGTGTGTGTGAACAGGAATACATCCAGAAACTGATGCCTCCTCTGATCCAGAAGTGGAATGAACTGAAAGACGAGGATAAAGACCTGTTTCCTCTACTGGAGGTGAGACACTCAAAACAAAGTGAAGAAAGACTTTATATTTGAATGCATTTTACTGTCATGTTATTTTGCCAAAACATTTGTAATTGAAAGTGAAAATGGACAGTAAATGACTCTCATCCATTCTGTGTTTGTGTGTGTAGTGTTTGTCGTCTGTGGCTACGGCGTTACAGAGCGGTTTCCTCCCGTACTGTGAGCCCGTCTATCAGCGCTGTGTTACTCTGGTGCAGAAAACACTCGCACAAGCCATGGTGAGAACACACACTTACTCACACACATCAACATGAACATCAGTGGACCGTTTCAAACATTTGCAATATTATAGTAATATTTGTTTATTTTCTTTGTTATTTTTATATTTAATTAAATATTTTAAGTATTTAATTTTATTATCTGTTGTTGCATTATAAGACATTTAGGCTGATTAATTGATATGAATGCAAATTGAAAGTGGTACTCTCTTATATGCAGGACACTATGCCTGAGGTGAGGCAGAGCTCATTTGCTTTGCTGGGTGATCTGACCACTGGTTGCCCGTAGCAACATTATGACCCTTCTGTTCCAGTGTATGCAGGTACAGTGTGTGAAAGAGTTTAAAAATGTGATGTTCTTATCATTATTATTTGAATTATTTACAGTATGTCAAATTAATATTTGATCTAAAAATGTTTATAATTGAATTTAATATTGTTGGTGTTATGTTAATATTATTATTTTAATAGTCATTTATTATTTTTAATATGTGTGCGTTTGACCTGCATTATACACCCTTAACTTATTCATATGTATTAATCTCTGAAACTGTGTGTGTGTTCAGCTGAGTTCATGCCGATCCTGGGGACGAATCTGAACCCCGAGTTCATCTCAGTGTGTAACAACGCAACCTGGGCCATCGGAGAGATCTGCATGCAGATGGGTGAGGATCATCTCACTGATTCTGTGTCAGTTACATCATGACACGGATTGGGATTTAGAATGACATCATTGATTTAGAACCATAGAATGTGATAGTTGTTTGTTTGACATCGTTGGAGGGAGTTGAATTCTCTATCATCAGTAAGGTGATCGTTATTGGTCATGTGTTGTTGTAGGTGTGGAGATGCAGCCGTATGTGGCTCTGGTTCTTCCTCATCTGGTGGAGATTATTAACAGACCCAACACTCCCAAAACCCTGCTGGAGAACACGGGTACAACCTCTGACCGCACATGATCACTTACATTTCACACAGATAAGTAATCAAACCTTGACTCCTCCCACTTCTCTTTACAGCCATCACGATTGGTCGCCTGGGTTACGTCTGTCCACAAGAAGTGGCTCCCATGTTGCAACAGTTCATCAGACCCTGGTGAGTCAACATGTCCAGAGATTTCAAACAAGCATATTAGAATGATTTCTGAAGGATCGTGTGACACTGAAGACTGGAGTAATGATGCTGAAAATCCAGCTTTGCATCACAGGAATGAATTACATGTTAAATATATATTTAAATCAGTTCATAGTATATAGGAGACTTATTTCAAAAATGTATTACTGACACCAAACTTTCGCCAGCAAGTTCGTTTGATTTAAGAATTGCATTATTTCCATTTTCAGCTAATGCTTTTCTTAAGACAGGCTTAATTAATGTTAATGATTTTTCTCTTTGCAGGTGCACATCATTACGAAACATCAGAGATAATGAAGAAAAGGACTCGGCCTTCAGAGGCATCTGTGTGATGATTGGTGTGAACCCTGGCGGTGTGGTCCAGGTCAGTTCTGATATTCTGACTCCGTTGTGATTGACCATGATGTTACTCTCTCCTCCATCACTCATTTCCTTTCACCCGTCGCTCCCTCAGGACTTCATCTTCTTCTGTGATGCGGTGGCCTCCTGGGTCAGCCCTAAAGATGACCTGAGGGACATGTTCTGCAAGGTTAGACGCACATCACGTTGTGCCTTTATAGCGGTGAAATGTTGTTCATGTTGTTGAATGAGGCTGTGTCTCTGTGTAGATCCTACATGGGTTTAAGGACCAGGTCGGAGAGGAGAACTGGCAGCAGTTCTCGGAGCAGTTCCCGCCCATCCTGAAGGAACGCCTCTCTGCATGCTATGGCGTGTAACCCCACCCCTCTGCTTCACACACAGCACATGCTGTCAGGTTAGTGACGACTGCTGATGTCTAGTGATGCCATCATGTGCTGGCACAAACAAACACTGCTAGGTTTTTGTTGCTGGTAGGTGTTTCTACTCAACTGCAGTATATGCCAGATAATCTGTGCCCAGCTGCCTGCACTTCCCTTTGACAGTCATACATTACTGTTTATTTGCATTAAAGGGGTCATATGATGCTGCTAAAAAGAACATTTTGTGTATTTGGTGTAATGAAATGTGTTTATGCGGTTTAAAGTTAAAAAAACACATTATTTTCCACATACTGTACATTATTGTTTCTTCTCTATGCCCCGCCTTTTTGAAACGCGTCGATTTTTACAAAGCTCATCGGTCTGAAAAAGCGAGGTGTGCTGTGATTGGCCAGCTATCCAATGCGTTGTGATTGGCCGAATACCTCAAGCGCGTGACGGAAATGT